GCACTTCTGCGCTCCTGTGATGGTGCAGCACATATAAGACACTCCAGACCAATCACAGATCAGTATGCAAATACATTCAAGAAATATCACCAATCAGAATTCAGCATGCAAATGAGGCCACTGCTGTTAGTCAAATGCTGAAGGTTCTGACCGTGTGAATGTGAACTCAGTCATTTTATAGAAAACCAAAAAGATTTTGAAATGATCTACAAAACATTTGATTTGAGATGGTCTTGGTTGGTTATTACAGTACTGTTTTCAAAATTACTTCTGTGTGATGTCACAGTTCTGAATATGATATTCTAAATTGTCCTAGGTATCTTAAAAATACCTTTTTAAAATGTATTTATTTATTTTGTATGTTTGTTTTGTTCTATATTATTGGAGCTTTTTACATCAAGTGGTTAAAGCTGAATTATAAAGGATAAAAAATGAATATTTTAGGAATAGATGATGTCTTCAGTTTTATTTTATTTCATTTACTCTCAGATCTACAACCCAAATCTTTGTTTTTAGATTTAGATTCTCATAGTGAGATAAGCTTGTGTGTGTGTGTGTGTGTGTGTGTGAGAGAGAGAGAGAGAGAGAGAGAGAGAGAGAGAGAGAGAGAGAGAGAGAGAGAGAGAGAGAGAGAGAGAGAGAGAGAGAGAGAGAGAGAGAGAGAGAGAGAGAGAGAGAGAGAGAGAGAGAGAGAGAGAGAGAGAGAGAGAGAGAGAGAGAGAGAGAGAGAGAGAGAGAGAGAGAGAGAGAGAGAGAGAGAGAGAGAGAGAGAGAGAGAGAGAGAGAGAGAGAGAGAGAGAGAGAGAGAGAGAGAGAGAGAGAGAGAGAGAGAGAGAGAGAGAGAGAGAGAGAGAGAGAGAGAGAGAGAGAGAGAGAGAGAGAGAGAGAGAGAGAGAGAGAGAGAGAGAGAGAGAGAGAGAGAGAGAGAGAGAGAGAGAGAGAGAGAGTGTGTGTGTGTGTGTGTGTGTGAGAGTGTGTGTGTGTGTGTGTGTGTCTGTGTGTGTGTGTGTGTGTTTGAACCAGACAGACACACACTCGTCAAAATCACATTCAGATGTTCTAGAAATGTTGGTGAATTTTGCACCCATGAAAGAAGAGTTCAGACAGAAGTGTGTGTGTGTGAATAAACTATTAAATGAATGTCTATGTTCAGAATAGCTCATCTTAACTAAAGATTGAGCTGGAGTTTGTTCCTGATGAAGTCTCAGTCTGAATTCTGTTGTTTGTTGTATTCTCTGCAGCCGGTCTACTTGTACTTTCGGTTAAACACAGGGGCAGGTAAACCTCATGCAAATAAGCACAAGTGTTGTGCCGTGCAGTGATGTGGTAAATATTTTCTTTTACTATTAATTTATTCTTACTATTCATATGACTTTATAATAGCCATGTCTGATTCTCATGATCTGTGTGTGTGTGTGTGTGGACCAGGAAAATGGTGCCAAAGGTTGGAGAAGATTTCATGAAAAGCGTCCCTGTGAGAAGCTCCGACACGGGTGGATGGACACACACACACACACACACACACACGACACACACTCGTCAAAATCACATTCAGATGTTCTAGAAATGTTGGTGAATTTTGCACCCATGAAAGAAGAGTTCAGACAGAAGTGTGTGTGTGTGAATAAACTATTAAATGAATGTCTATGTTCAGAACAGCTCATCTTAACTAAAGAATGAGCTGGAGTTTGTTCCTGATGAAGTCTCAGTCTGAATTCTGTTGTTTGTTGTATTCTCTGCAGCCGGTCTACTTGTACTTTCGGTTAAACACAGGGGCAGGTAAACCTCATGCAAATAAGCACAAGTGTTGTGCCGTGCAGTGATGTGGTAAATATTTTCTTTTACTATTAATTTATTCTTACTATTCATATGACTTTATAATAGCCATGTCTGATTCTCATGATCTGTGTGTGTGTGTGTGTGGACCAGGAAAATGGTGCCAAAGGTTGGAGAAGATTTCATGAAAAGCGTCCCTGTGAAAAGCTCCGACACGGGTGGATGGACACACACACACACACACACACACACGCAGAGGACCCTGTAAAGACTTTTCAGCAGGACTGACCAGTCGCATTTGTCCAGTGCATGCAATCACGTCCATAGAAACGACACACAGAGTTCATGAATGCTTCACGAGTTGAGATCATGGACACACACACACACACACACACGTGCTGCATTTCCACTAAATCAGATGTTCTTCTTCTGACGCCTCTCAGCCTCGTTTCCCAAACTCTAATAGAACATCAGAAACACTACAGATTTTAAAAAGCATCCTTGCGGATTTTAGATATGCCTCGTAATATTACGAGCTACTTCCATACAGTAAGATGTTTTAAAAAGTGCAATGCAAGAACTCTTGTTGTATTTCTCTATGGTTAGGTTTATTTCTAGTGCTGTTTGGAGATTTCTAGACTTAGATAGCTATATTCTGTTCAAGCATTTGTATGATTTTCTTCCTCTCTTGACTCTTGTTTATCTTGGTTTTTTTCTTGATTTGCCGTGCCGTGCCGCATACAACCGCCGAGTCTCATTTTATATACTGTACTTTTTAAAGACATAATTTATAATATAATATGCTGACATTGATATGAACGGCTGCTTTGGGTGTAAAGTTGAAATGTTTGAATAGTTATAAAGAAACGACTTAATCCATTGTAAGTAGAAAATGCCATATTTGATTTATATATATATATATATATATAGCCAATTGAATTTTTTATCTTTTAAGCAGTGCCATAAACCATGCACGTATATAAGATAGTTTCAATAGCAGTCTTGCTCGGTTCTTACAGTGCTGTTCTTATTCTAACTTATTTCTGTGTAATACTATTATGGTTGAATGTGATATTTTAAATAGGCCTGGGTTATCTTAAATAGCTGTTTTTGTATGATTTCTTATTATATTATTGTGTCGTGGTGCCAACTATTGAACTCAGTCAAATGTAGAGTTTGAGTTAGGATGGCGTTGTGCAAAAACACTCCAGGACCAGGAGAAATGTCTTTACGCCATATCTGTTTTAGTGCTGAGTAACAGTGCGTTTTTCCCAACGATCTACACTACAGTCTTATAAACAAGCCTTTGACATTTACATGCATGTACCATCATTGGTGGTCCCTGAGAGGGGCAAAAAATATACATATAATAATATATATATAGGTTATGGCTGAATATCTTATTAAAAAGAAATAATGTAAGTGGAAATACACATAATTGACACTGGAAACTCTCAACAGAAAATTCGAGAATATGGCTTTTTTTTGCATGCAAGTATATTTTATACACTCGTTTTAACAGCATTTCTGTAACAACAAAAGCTAATTAGTCGTTCGCAAGTTCGATTTTACCTGCCGTTACCATAGCAACACAATCGCGATATTGGTTGCGATTAATACCGAAATCATAGTCTACTGTCTTAACTTACAATTGCTTAAGAATAATGAATAATCACAAAAAAATAATGTTTTTTCAGCATGTTAATAAGATGTGAATTGTAATATCTAACGGGGTCACGAGACGTTTGCATCGCGAATAACGCGACAGAAACGTTCCTTAAAGTCATTAAATGATTCGCACACAGGTTTAAAAAAATAAATGCTCGCGACTGAGAAATACAAATATAAGCTTGATCTATAAATGCATATTTAAAGACCTTTGAACAAAGTGATGCAGTTCATGCTCCTAAAATAAAACCTCCAAAAGGGACACCAAATATGTCTCTTATTGCATCGGAATTTGTTAAAGCTTTTGCAGGAAACTGGTTCTCCCTCTATAAACGCGTGCTCGTGTTATGTTCAATTATTAGTAACAATCGTGTAAGAATTGTATTATCATTGCTATGAATGCACGGATATAATATGCAATTGCTAGCAGTTTTCTCGCAATAACAGCACATCTCGAAATAAATGCGCTACAAAACAATCGGTAAATGCATGCAATTAAAAAAGGACCAGGACAGTTTTGAAACACTGGCTTGTTAAATAATTTATTGATAATACAAAGTTTTTTCTTCCGTCCTCACGGAAGCGATAGTGTTCTCTTCGTCGGTATTTATGTCCATGTTCGTGTGTTTCTCCTGTTGTGAGGTGAACATAAACTCCAGATTATTCAAACAAATTCTATTCACATCATTTACAGCACTGGCACTTCTTTATACACTTGGTGTACCTGTTTCCAAAATCAAAAGTGAAGCTTTTAGGCGGAAAAAAGGCGTTATTCTTCTGCGATCGAAGACTAAATGATGGTGAGGATGATGAGGATAATGATGAGGATGAGGGGGAAAAGTTGGCACGTCTCCGTGATGCTTTAATAACATAATTTACTCAGTAAAAAATATATATACACATCTCACGTCCACTTCTACCTGTACAACCGCATTCAAAGCAAAGAAGTGAGTTTATACCCTGCTTAATTCTGCCTCGGTTCTCCAGAAGAATCTGAAGCCGAGGATGATGATGATGATGAAGATGATGAAGAGTCTTTTGCTCAGCATCATCACAAAGTGTCCGAGCTGTTGCTGCACGGGCTGATGAGGGACAGGTTACACGTCTTGTGCTTTTTTAACAGTCTCGTGATTTTCTCGTCGTCGGAGTTCGGGTCCAGAGGTTTGTTGTATTCATCCTCCTCCTCCTCCTCCTCGTTCTCCGAGCTCTCCTTCATCTTCTCCGTCTCTGAGTCGTGCTTCTTCTTAGCCGTGGCCATCTCAGCCGCGTGCCTCTTGCGCCATTTGGTTCTTCTGTTCTGAAACCAAACCTGAGACAGAAAAAATCTTGCTTCAGAGCACTGTCCATATCAGTGATCAATTAGGCTGTTATTATTTCAAAGCAGAAAAAAGGCAGAAGTTGCATGCAACTGAAATCATATAAATCAAGCGAAAGTGCATGCACTCTAGAGCAAGCGATTGATTAAAATAATAAAAGCAAATGCATGTTGACCAGACGATGCGTAAATGTAAGGCCTAACGGTGTGCAATGCTGTGCAACACTCAGCGATTTTTTTTTTGGTTAAAAATATGATTTATAATCCCCCAAAAATTTAATTTCAACATTATAAATTAATGCTCCGACAGTTTTACTCTTATCACGCGCAACTGACAGCGACCTTCGCGGATAAAATAATCTGTGGGCTCGTTCTGCCCGTTTGCATTGAGGAAACAAAGTCTAGAATTAAATGAAATGAATAGAAAACCCGCCTCTGTTTACCTTGACTTGGCTCTCGGTCATTCCCAGAGAATATGCGAGCCGAGCTCGCTCCGGTCCGGCCAGATATTTGGTCTGCTCGAAGGTTTTCTCCAGCGCGAAGATCTGCTGTCCGGAAAAAGTTGGTCTGGAGTGCTTCTTCTTCCCATCATTGTCCAGCATCAGATGTGCCTGGGCTGGAGAAAGAAGAAGATAAGACACGGTCAGCCAAAACCTCGATTCTACGTTTATTCATTTAGCAGACGCTTTTATCCAAAGCGACTTACAACTGATCACAAAGCGGCCAGCACACAAGAAGTGCTATTTGTGAGAGAATACTGATGACCCACAAGTGCCAAACACTAACATTTCAACAACCTGAGCGTGAAAACCAACACGCACTCTTACAAATAAAGCTGCTTTACTGGCATCAGAACCTTGAACATCCACGAAACCTTTCAAGTGCATCTTTACAGTCGAAAAGTGTCTTCAGATTTTTTTTTTTAATGCTCCTCAAAATGGTTCTTTCAGGAACTGATCTCTGAAGGGTTCTTTGGGGAACCAAAAATGGTTCTTCTGTGGCAAGAACACGCTTTTGGAACCTTTGTTTTTAAGAGTGTACGCCAGTTTAGAAAAAGATTCCGATTCTACTTCGTTCTTAAAGAAAACAAGAAAATATAATGTACTTAAAGTGCTCGATTCTCGCGCACTAATTGTGTACTTAATATACTAAAATGATTCTTTAGTACTTCTTAAGATAAATTTAAGATCAGCTAAGTGTGCTGTTTTGGGACACAATGAATATGAACAAAAATGCGCTTTTAACATGCTATCTGTATTTGAAAAACAAAACAAAAGGATTTAGTCAGCACTTGAGTGTACTAGTGTATGAAAGACGGTTCAAGTGTGCTACAAGTGCTGACTAAATACTTGTTTTTTTCAAATACAGATAGCATGTTAAAAGCGCATTTTTGTTCATATTCATTGTGTCCCAAAACAGCACACTTCTCAAGTGTATCTTAAGAAGTACTAAAGAATCATTTTTAGTAGCCTATATTAAGTACAAAATTAGTGCGCGAGAATAGAGCACTTTAAGTACATTATGGAAGTGTAGCTACTTTTTTTTTTTTTTTTTACCTGAATAATATTGCAACAATCTAGGCTGCGTTTCCCAAAACCGTCGCACCCCTAAAAGAACATAGGCTTACGATGCTTTTGGGAAACGCAGCCCTGCTGCGCGTGCAAACCAACATAAGCCAGTTTAGAAACATGTTCTGGAGAACTCACCCGGACAGGGAACCCTCGGGTCTCTCCAGGGTGAACCCTGCATCATTCCGGGCCAGAATATGGGCGCCCTCCCGGGCAACTCCGTCAGCGGTTTGGGGTACCGAGACACCGCCGCGGGGTTGAAGTACATCCCTGCTGATGTCAAGCCGTTGATCCGAGGAAAGCCCGAGAGCAGCTGTCCCGCGGCGGTGATGGGTCTCCCCAAGATATCGCTTATTCCATGCGGAGTCCCCAGCGGGATCTGAGAGCTCAGGTTGCAGAAGGAAGGAGCCTTGAAGCCCGCGGGGCTCTGCAGGGCGTACGGGAATAAAGAGTTCTTCATCTCGGTCATGTTGTGCAGCGCAGCCAGAGGAGTGCTGCCCAGAACGAACGCACTCTGCCGGTTACTCTCCATCTGCCCGACCGCTATCATTGGTGCGGGTGAACCACAGGGCGAAGCGAGAAAGTTCGTGCGAGAAAGTTTAACCCCCACAACTTCACAACTCATCCACCAGAACTGCAACTTTCAACCGGCGAGTTCCAAAGTTCGCGAGCGCTTCCCGATGAGTCCCAGAATCCGGATGCCGGCCGTCGGCAGATCTCACGCCCGCTTTGAGTGCCGCGATCGCCCGCATCTGAAGCGCCGTCCTCCGCTCAGTGGCCTCCAGCGCAGATAACCGCGTCGCCACCTGCCAGCGCGCATCTCCCATTGGAAGACGCTTCGTGACGCCACGCTCTGATTGGAGGACGCGAGGCGGCGGATTTGCATGGACAAAGCCGCACTCCATCAAACTCGTAATGTAGCGCTATATAACGACGCGTCGCGTTGTTGAAATCATAGTTTCGCATTGCATTCGACACAATAGGCGCGTTTACTTTAAGACGAGTACATACGACTAAGCGCATTTCTTCATTCAGACGCGGCGCATAATCCGTTTCGTTTAGAACAAATATGCAACACTTTTTAACAAATGCGGAAAACTCTAATGCGCGACTCGCTTAATCGCGGGTTACTAAAACCTGCTCAAGCGTGCAGAAGCTGGCAAATCTAGAAGCTCACTGGAAGATTTTTACACTTATTTATATAAACAGTTATTTATGCACGCAGACTGAAGTCTCTATGTTCTTTCGCAGGTCGGCTATTAGAAAGACTTTATGATTATTATCACTGAAAATATCGCTCACCGTTTTAGCGACATTTACAAACATAAGCGCCCTTATGCAACTTAAAGGGTTGTTGCTAAGATAGCCAAATCATCTAAAACAACTAACAACATAAAATATGAATTACATGGCTTGGGGGGGAAATAAAGCAATGTTTTACTGTGTATGCGACGGGTTTAGTTAATGCAGGCGTGTTCAACTCTCTGAAGCTGATCGTGTCTGACCCACTGTTAACCAGATATTTCTCCTGGTCTGATAACATCTTATCTAACTTCACGTGCGATTATTTCGTGGACCTGACTGTAAATGTGCTTTGATAATATCCTCATGAGCATGCATGTAATATATATGACATCTTTAATGTTTCATGTTCTGTGTTTTTTTGTGAATTGAATCAGAGATCATCTGTTTAAGTGCAGCGGTTATGTTTTATGGATGATGAGTGAAATATGAGCGTGCTGGAATTTTTAAAAGGCTTCGACATTATTTAGACCTTCATCAAAACCACGAGGCGTTTGAATCGAAACACTTTTTCCATTTTGTATTTGTTTATAGGCCTCACACGTTAAAAAACAGGTTAAGTGTGGGCTGTGTGGTTATTATATACCATCTTTACATCTAGAAATAAATTGATTGGTGTTATTGTATCATATTAGCATGTAATCCTCATGCATGACAGAAGCTCAGAAGCGGCTCACCTTCTTTTTCAGTTGTGCAATTTGTTTTATTACCGAGTTCATCTTCTAATTCTAATGTGAGTTGTAAGTAAATGTAAATCTTCATCAGGATAATGACAGTAAAACTGCTGCTCTTCATCATTCACTGTTCATGCGCATTAACATCACTGCAGTCTGGCAGAAAAAAGCGTTTTTAATGCACTGAATTATTATTATTATTATTATTTTATGAGTTTGTGAGGAGTTAGTCTTCGCTCGTCTGTAAAACGAGCTGATATAATCACGCCGTGTACACACATATTTGTACTGCATAATCTGTAATATAAGCACCAGATGAAGTTGAAAAATAAACAATAAACCCGAAATCCTAAGTGTAAAATTGCTTGACTCAATGCACTGTTATTGCTGATAATAATAATAGAGTTTGTATTTGCCGCATTTGACTTTTTGCCATATGCTGTACATTGAAACATGAACTAAAGATAATGAGCAGTAATCAGTGTTTGTGTGTCGTTTTCGGACAGTATGCCAGTTTTCGAGATTTTTCCTAATTTTATAGCAGTCTTAAAAACCCGTTTTCAAATCAACGAACGTGTTAATTAATTAAAAAGAAAAGCCCGTAACCTTCGTTGATTTAGCGCGAGACTCTGCGTTCATTTCGAGGGAAACAGCGACATCCTCCGGTCAGACCGCGAACTGCAGCGCTCCTGCATAACAGAAGATGCACTGGCTCTTCTTCATATCATAACAAATATAACTACAAGTCGTGTCACAATATACAGCACAGGTTTGTCTAACTATACTCTGATTATGCTCCTTTAAACGGTTCTTATATCTTACATCAATGAAGTCTGCAATCTCTCTGAGTGTCTGTTCTCTGTCTGCGCATCAGGACTTTCACTTTGTCTCTGGATCTTCGGTTCAACTCCATATTTATTTTATCTGTGCAGCAGCTTCCCTACAGTCTCTAGACCTTTATAGTCTTCAATTACTGCTTTTCTCATTTTGTCCCCACCATGAAAACTGTGTAAGCAGATACAGTTTTCTGAGCACAATGAATCGAGTTACTGCTGTTTTGTTTTGAGGTTCAGTGTGTTTTTAGGAAGAGCAGTGCTCTGGCTGTTTGAGATTACAGATAGATTAATTACAGATGAAATTAGAATTATAATTACAGATTAAGAATCTTAACTTGGTGTTATTTATTGACCGTTTTTATTCATTTGGTTGTTCAGCTGCATCTCTCTGTGTGAGCAACACTCACATGCTAGTATAGTACACAATAAATAAATACAAATATTCCTTAAAAATATCAATAAAACATTATATATGTAGCATTTCTTAATTTTAAATGTCTTAATTTTATTTGCTGTATTTATATTTTACAATAAAATAACTAGTGGGCTTATAAATTAAATTAATTTAATACATTAAAAAACTATATTATCAAATAAATTTAAAAATGGCCAAAATATTTATTTCCTAAAATATGTTTCAAAATATATTAAAGTGAATATGTTTTCTACCCCTATATAATTTTGGTCGTTTTTGTACATTTTTGAAAATATATTTTTAAATGTATATTTTGCCCTTCATATATTTCAATCGAAGAAAGTACATGTCACACTTTATTTGTTGTCTATAACACATGTAAACATATAACACATCAGCAAGCAACGTACTTTACAAAGTAAAACAAACAAAAACTATATGTATATAAATAAACATGATTAAATCTAGTTTTGATCTCAAGCTGGCTTTTCCATCCACATTTGCTTTTATCCTAAATGTAGGCTACTGTAAGATTGTAAATGTATTTTTTTGCACATGAAATACATTTTGAAATATACGTATTATAATGCACAATGTCAGCTCTGATTCAACGACAACGTGCATGCATTCTCTGGGAATCGAAGCCATGACTTCTACGGCTTGAGCTCCTGCATGTAAACCTTGAATGCAGTGTAAGTGGCTTTGAATAAAAGCATCTGCTCGATGCATCAGTGTAAATATAAGCTACAGATCATATCAATATCAGCTTGTGAATGTTCAATGAGCTCGAGTCACGGAGAGCTAGTCTTTAATCACAGTTAAAGTTACACAAGCCTTCGTGAAACAGCACTGGCACCCTCTCTCCAGATCCCTTCACTAACTAACTGAGTCACCTCTCTCTCTCTCTCTAACTCTCTCTCTCGCTCTCTCACTCTCTCTCTCACACACACACTCTCTCTCTCACACACACACTCTCTCTCTAACTCTCTCTCTCGCTCTCTCACACTCTCTCTCACACACACACTCTCTCTCTCTCTCTCTCACACACACTCTCTCTCTCTCTCTCTCTCACACACACTCTCTCTCTCTCTCGGTCTCTCTCTCTCTCACACTCTCTCTCTCTCTCTGTCTCTCTCACACACTCTCTCTCTCTCTCTCTCACACTCTCTCTCACACTCTCTCTCTCTCTCTCTCTCGGTCTCTCTCTCTCTCTCAGGCTGCTGGATGTTTGTCACAGACGGTACAGTGATAAAGCAGAGCTCTTCAAAGCACAGGTCAGAGGACACTTGATTTACACACTAACTAACAAACGAACAGATACAGCATTCAATACCACGGTGTGTAACAGCCATTCCCGAGCGATTTTATCAGCTGGATGCCTTTGAGCCCAGAGTTTAAGTTCATTTTAAGTTTTTAACTCACTCGACATGCAGCTAGTAAATACATTTAGTAAGTGTTTTTTGACTGTTTTTATTTTAAATTGTTGTTTTTTAAAAATATATATTTTAATATATTTTTATTCTATATAAATTCTATTTCATCTTTTATATCAATTCTATTTTAATATAACAAATTATAAAAATAAAATCGATGGTTAAAATTGTATTTATGTATTTTACATTTATTTTTCAGACCCTCTTTTTTTCTTGATTTAACATAAACTCACTCAGTTTTGATAACTTTTTTTGTCTAACAGTACTTAATATCTGATGTAATTTTGCTTCTCAAGTAAATGTATGTTGATTTAAGAATATTTAGACATTTGTGCCAGAAAACAAGACGAAAGTTTAGCCTCCCCAATATCTGCATGACAGCAAATGTGATTGTCTACAACAGTTCAATAATCAAGTTCATATCGTGTAACAATTTAAGACACAATATTGTTTTGCTCAAATGAAATAAAGTCGCAGCAGAACTGTTGTGCATCTGTTGTGATCAACACACAGCAGTGAGTCATTACTGAACAAATCCAGCGAGTCATTGATTCAGTGACTCGTTCATCAAGAGTCACTTGATTCGATTCTAAGTGAATCAGCCGTTCGAACAAATTGGTTGCATGAAAGATTCAGTGACTCACATTTATGCATTGTTATACATCAAAATATTTCTTTCTAAAGTTACTTTTTTATAATGTCTATTCAGTGGATTTCAGACAAAACTGAAGTGTGGTTAATTAGATTAATCTACGCTTTTTTCTGTTTTTTTTACACGTGTTTGAATCGGATTCATTCATCCGCAGCTTCATCAATCATGAGATCCTGGCAAAGGCAAAAGAAGCTTCATATCTCTATTGACAAAACAACAAACATGTCAGATAACAGTTTATTTTCCATTCCTCTAAAATGAGCCAACACACGGTTTATCATTCCAGCTATTTCTCAGTGAACATTGTTTAAAAGTAAATCCCCCAGAACAAATATCTGAGTTTATACACAGTGTTTAGACTATAATAGTGCTGGATGATATATCCTCTGAAGATACATCTGCATCGTTTATCTTTTGTGTTTCATTCCAAAAATTCACAAAATTCTAATCTTTGATTAACTGAAAGTGAGGGAAAAATCTCACGATGAAACAATTCTCATTTACATTAAAAACATGTATGAAAGTTAAAGTCCTGCGCAGTTTACACCAGTGATGTTTTAGAAACAATTGTACTTTTTATTAATACTTTGAATATGTTTTTTTTCCTATTTTCATTTTACTTCTAGTTGGAGTTTTAGTGATTTTGATTTAATCGTTTTTTATTTTAGTTTGATTTATTTAAACTGAAGTGTGGTTAATTAGATTAATCTACGCTTTTTTCTGTTTTTTACACGTGTTTGAATCGGATTCATTCATCTGCAGCTTCATCAATCATGAGATCCTGGCAAAGGCAAAAGAAGCTTCATATCTCTATTGACAAAACAACAAACATGTCAGATAACAGTTTATTTTCCATTCCTCTAAAATGAGCCAACACACGGTTTATCATTCCAGCTATTTCTCAGTGAACATTGTTTAAAAGTAAATCCCCCAGAACAAATATCTGAGTTTATACACAGTGTTTAGACTATAATAGTGCTGGATGATATATCCTCTGAAGATACATCTGCATCGGTTATCTTTTGTGTTTCATTCCAAAAATTCACAAAATTCTAATCTTTGATTAACTGAAAGTGAGGGAAAAATCTCACGATGAAACAATTCTCATTTACATTAAAAACATGTATGAAAGTTAAAGTCCTGCGCAGTTTACACCAGTGATGTTTTAGAAACAATTGTACTTTTTATTAATACTTTGAATATGTTTTTTTTCCTATTTTCATTTTACTTCTAGTTGGAGTTTTAGTGATTTTGATTTAATCGTTTTTTATTTTAGTTTGATTTATTTTAGTACATCAAGTTAAAATAAATGAAAATGAGAAATATTTCCTCGGCAACTAGCAGACACAAAACAAGTTTTATTATATATTTTGTTATAAAATTTTATTTCAGTAACAAAAATAGTTTTAATTGTATGGTTTTAATTTGAGTTAACACTGAATATTATGTCATCTATCAATTCTGTGTAAAAAAAAAAACAAGGTTTATCAGTCTAAGCAAATGGAGAGCACTGCAATGTAGTCTAGAGAGTTCACAGATGCACAGTACATCAGTCAGCGCAGTGAACAGCATCCACAAATCTGACGGTCTGTAGTGCCACCGTGTGGTGAAGAGAGGAAGCACACACAGCTGCAGAGCCTCGCAGCATCACAGACGCAGGGCCGGATTGACCTCTTATCCTAGTCTAAGCAAATGGAGAGCACTGCAATGTAGTCTAGAGAGTTCACAGATGCACAGTACATCAGTCAGCGCAGTGAACAGCATCCACAAATCTGACGGTCTGTAGTGCCACCGTGTGGTGAAGAGAGGAAGCACACACAGCTGCAGAGCCTCGCAGCATCACAGACGCAGGGCCGGATTGACCTCTTATCCTAACATAGGCACAACTCATTTTTGCCCCCCCCTTTTCTGAATTGCTAAAACACTAAACCCCAATCTCTGAACCAAATCCTCACTAGCTTAAACCAGTCTGTCGAATAAAGCACTCTTTCTGCTAAACCTTA